GAAAACATGGTCTGTGCTCTCTTGCATACCTGTGTGGGAAGTGACATAGCAGAGGCACAGACTGTGCATGTATGGGCAACAGACTCTCCTTTTTCTCTCTATGCTTTGAGACCAGGTTCATTCTCTGACTCAGGGAAATGTAATTCAGGGCAGGAATATGGTGTCCCCTTTGCATAATAAGGTGCAAGAGAGAAGCTCCTAGGTGGTTACCTAGGACAGCTGATTTTTCGGATACTCTGTGTGTTGGGTAGGCCAGGGCATGGACCGCTTTCCTGTCTTTTGATTCTTTTCAGAGATGCCCCATCCTCACCCTCGATCCCTTGTTCCTCCCATCCAGTGGTGAAAACTGAGGTTGCAGAAAGTGACAGAAAACCTTTCCTGCGCTGCATGTAGGAGTGGGCAGGGTGAGGGCCACACAGAGGTTCCAAGGACTGAGGGCCTGTGGCAGAATCAGAGCAGGGAATTTGGAGTAGGGGTGACTTGGGGTGGCTACTGAAATACACGCTGAATGCCCCAGGGAGGCCTCTCTGTTAAACCCACCACACGTTGAATGAACTAGATTTTCTCACCTGAATCTGAGGCAAAGAGCCAATGATTGCTCTCTGGGATTTTGTGTCTTCGTTGGCTTGTTTGTTTTTATTTACGGACTGTATCTTTCTCCCATACAATGATGGTTAGTGCTAGGGCTGCAAAGGCTATGGAGAGCCAGAGAAACATCAGGTTCCTGTCGATAACCACGGAAAGCTTCAGGAAGCTGAAATGCTGAGTCACTAGAATTTCGTAGACTGTAGACTTTTAAATTGGAAGAATCTCTGGAGAGACTTCACTCCCTGATTTTGTAATGAGGTTACTGAGCCTCGATAAATAGTGATGGAGTGGGGCTGGGGATGGTGTGGGGCAGAGGGACCCTTGTAAACGAGGCCATGTGGGGAAGACATAAAGGCCGCTGCAGGATGGAGTGGAGGTCAGTTGCCTGGTTATTCGGAAGATTTTTTTATTTTGGACAAAAATGAATTATTTTAACAAAAGAAACTGAAGAATTAATATGAACATGATATAATTTGAATATGGCTCATACTAGGAAAAAATATGTGAGATCAGGGAAGTTCCTTGAAGGATGAGAACAGAAGTGAAGTACTGCAGTTTACTTGGAAGTGAGGCCTTTCCAGTATAAACTTAGAAAACAAAAGAATAATGTTTCTTTTTCTTTTTTCCCTCTTCTTCCCTCTCACCCAGTCTCTCTCTCTCCTCTTCCTCCTCGTCTATTTTCTTCAGTCTCATCACTGAGTAGGAATCCAAGCCAAGTGACATGGATCTCTCCTCAATCACTGGTCCCTAGTGATTGGGACAAAATGCCATCCAGAGAATTTACTTGCTGTCTGTGGGTGTGGCTGTGCCAGGCCAAGGCTGGGAGGGTGGGGCATAAGGACCTCTCTCCTACTTTACAGTCTCCCTCTTCCCGACAACCAAACATCTGGATTAAGTGCTGTCTCTGTGAGAGAGAAACAAAAATGCTATAATAAAAAAGAGCAATTTGAATTTTAAATTCCACACGGAATTTCAAATGGCTTAGAAGTGTGAATATTGTCAATGGAATATGTTATCATTGTTCACAAAACAGCTAGAGAAATAGGCTTTATTATTACAGTGAAGGCACTATAATTTTATTTTGGAACTTCTTCTGCCTCCTATTTCCTTATAATTTCTAAGAGAATAACTAAAATTTAAAATTGTTCAGCCTTGTCTTGCTAATCCACCATTAAATCTTCTCAGTGCTATTACTTCCATTATTGTTGCCATAATAAAGCAGGAATGAATAGAAAAGAACCTAAAGTTTGCTCCCAAAGACTTTTCAAGATCTAGAATGGGTACTGGGAAAGTTTAATCCCTAGGTACAGCCATGCTACTGATATTTTGGTTAATTAGTTTTGATGATTCAAAGTACCTAGAGAATAAACTTCTATTTCATGGTGAAAAACTGGAGTCCTTCCTTCCAATCCGAAGTATAAGGACTCTTGATGAGATATGGTAAAGCTTTAAAAGCTGGAAAAAAAGTCAAAATATATAAAGTTTGTTTAGTTCAACCACTCAGGAAGGTTCTATCCTTTCTTATGGATAGATAGTCAGCTCTAGAAACAACTCCCAAAATGAAGAAGTTTCCTTTGGATGGATTAGATATTTAAAGAAAAAGATTTTGTGTATTTAATGGAAAATTACTGCTTAATTACCACTTAAGACTTTTCTGTCTCCAAAATGTATGTCAAATCCGACCATGTATGTCTCTGATGCTGCAACCTTATTCGGCTCCTGTCTGCATCAAGCCTCCCTGCTGAGACTCAGGTCCCTGTCCCATCTGCTCTCGCACAATAATAGCCAGTGTCATCACCTTAGTGTAAGTGACATCACCGCCCTCCCACAATGATGCCCTGCTTAAAGTCCTGCATTGAGAGAAGTTTGCAGTTTAATCAGCCCCGCAAGTGCGCCATCGTCCCCAACCCTCAGTTGCTCGCTCGCTGGCACTCTTGCTGTTTGTTTCATAGGATCATGGCACAATTTGTAAATATTTTGTTTACTTATTTTTTCTTGTGTAATCTTGCCTACAGGGTTGTATGATACATAAATTCAGGGTGTCTTATGTTTCTGTCTTGTTCATCTTTGTTTCCTAGTGATAAGCTCAATGAGTGGCATATGGTAGATGTTTTCCCCAGCATTTTTTAAACAAAAAATTTCAAACCTAGAGTAAAGAGAATTTTACAATGAATTCCCAAATACCTACCCATAGTTTCTACTGTATTGTCTTCATTGCTTACTTATCCATCTCTCCATTTCTGTATCTATTGCTACACACTTGACTTTAAATGCATTTGCTGAATAAATTAACAAAAGAATGAATGTTACTCTTTTGGTCAATAGCTGGAAGCTGTCCATTATGAGGCTGGACATTCAGTCATGTTCCCTATGGTGTGTATCTGCTAGGCTTTGTACCAGGCACTGGGGTAGACACTGGGGATTCAGAGACAAGGTCGAATTTCCTGCCTTCCAGGAACGACTACTACTACTACTACTGCTGCCTTCACTTCTACTAGTGAGAGGAAGAAAAAAGTTAGTGATGAAAGGAGAAAGAAGTAGAAAATGTGAACCTGTGATTTTTTTTGCACATGACTTATTAATAAAGACTGTTCACTGTTATTTTGATGTTAAAACTGCCTTATTTCTTGACATTGTGTGTGTGTGTGTGTGTTTGTGTGTGTGGTTGCATAAGTAGATAAAAGCAATTGTTGGCTTGGTTTAGTGAGTGAAGAAGGTCAGTGCAAGCCTATTGAAATCATGAAACTTTGGCTTCCTCCCTCCCTCCTTCCCTCCCTTCCTTCTGTCTTCTTCTTTTGAAGTTTTATATAACCATTGAAACATATAGATAATAGAAGCAAAGGAAAAGCATATAGAAAGTATTTCTAATCTAGGCCAACTATGATCAAGGTAAAGAGCATTTCTGCCTAGTCTAGAAAATTGACAGAGCGTGCAGGGCAGGTAGAGCTGTCTTCTGCAGATTGTCTCCTCCACCCCCAAACTATATTTGATTATATTTTTTATACCCTGTATTTATTATTTTGATTGCTTAGAGTAAATGCTTACCTTTAAAGTGACATTCTGGGGCAGTGGCTTGCAACATCCTTTATTAGGTTTGTTGTGTCTATTCACATTTATTTTAATTCTTATTTATAGAAGGAGGATTTTAAGAAGGTCAGTGCGTTATCTTTGTGATTGAATTCCAAGAATACTTAGCAGGGGTTTGTGTAATAATAAGGGTGTTGAATCACTGTCAACTGGGAATGCATCCAAGTTTATGCTTTCACTGAGAATCCTCTGTTAAATATTTAAAAGCCAAAGCGGTCTTTCAAAATAGGCGCGTGGGCCCGGACAGCATGGAAATGGTGAGCATAGTACATGGGTAAGCAGCAAAGGTTGCTTCTCTGATCTCAGCTGTTTTGTTATACTTACCTTTCTTTATCCCTTTTATTCACTGGGTTTCTTCTTTCTAACATGTTGGCGACTCCCATTCCATCAACTTTCATTTGCTCACATTGTCCTCCCACGGGCTTTCACGTGGCAAACATTTCAGGGTCCAGTGTGGTCTTCACCTGGATTTGCTTCCTTGCTTTGCCACTAGTAGCTAAAGGACCTTGAACAAGAGATGTACCTTTTCCAAGGTCCAGGGTCCCTACCTGGAAGTGGGAGACCTTAATACCTACTTCAATATGTAAAACGTGTTTACCACAGAGAAGACCCTTGGTAAGTGTTCGTTTTGCCCTACAATTTTAAGATTAGTTGCCACATTGGGTTAGTAAGAAATGATAATTTGGGGGAGAAATATGGACGTAAGCACCTAGATAGTGCAATATGAGGAAAAAGCAAATCTGGAGGTGGATATTTTATTTATAAAATTAAATCTAATTTTATTTTGCAAAAATCAATAAATACATGTTCAGATTTGGTTTATCTTCAAACCATATCTCTTTTCTTCCCCCCAAACATGCAGGTTAATTTGGCATGCCAAACATCTTTTTTTCTAGCTCTTTTTGGAACTTTTTTTAATAACACAAACAAGGGTGCAAATATTGTCCAAAAACTATTTACATTTTTACCCTCCGGTATTACTAACATTAACATTTATTGAGAGGAAAGAAAAACTGCAATGCTTCATATTTGGCATTCCCATATGATTCAGCAGTATAATTAAAAACGTATAATGTTTTTAAGATAAACACTTTGAAGGAAATTTAATAAATCTCATTTTTGCTCTGCAAAGGAGCCACTATATCAAAGCATTTAACTGGAACTGTTGAGTTCCTGCTGTTAGAATATTACTTCCAGTCTATTTATTAGCTTTTCTTTCTGTGCCCAATACATGCTCCCCCCCTCCGCTGAGTGAAAGCACAGAAAAAAAGCAATTTCTTTTCTCTTTCCCCTCCCAGCGTCATGCAAGGTAAGACAACATCACAAGTCACCACATCTGAATTTACTTTGATTATATTGTTTCTTATACTTAAGATTATTTTGTAGTATAATACTTACTGGGTTATCTAAAATCAACACTGTTGATTTTAAATTGTTATAAAGCCAGACATTTAGAAGCATTTGAAACAATTCATGAACAATGTCTAAAAGGAGGTAATTGCCTCCAGTCTATTGTTTTGCATTTGAAATAAAAGAACTTTAGGTATTAGTAGTTTAGTAAAAAACAATAATTTAGGGGGCCTGTATAATTTCTTCACATCTTTATATTGTAAACAAAGATATGATACGTTTGACAGTAGCCTATGAACACATTTTTAAAAATATATCCTTTAGTATAGAACAGGTATCAAGGGAGCACTTCAAACATGATTCTGGTAGGGCTCTTATAAGCCTACCTCCCAGAAACATCTTATGTGAAATTTCTTGATTCAACAACAACAACAAAAAAATCTAAAGTCATAGGTCTAAGTTGAGAACATATGGTATGTGAGGTAAGGCCATTGTAGAGTCTATGGTCCAATGCACAATGTAACATGGACAAAAGAACTGAAAGAGACAGCTCATATTTCAGGCAGGACATGAGAGTGCTTGGAGAAATGGGAGCTTTTTAGGTCAGATAGTGAAGAAAGACACAGTATTCACCTAAAACAATAAGTGGTAAACAACATAAACATATGCAATGCCAATTCATCGAATGCAAACAAGATCAATTAGAAAGTGAACTATGATAACCACACATTTTGGAGAAAAATTCCCAAGCCAAGCGGATGTGGATTGGAATAAAAACATAGGCGGTATACACCACCATTGCAAAAATGGTTAGTAAGATGGTATTGAACATGGATTGCTCCCAGGGCTCCAAGACAGCACAGCAGCTAATGATTTGGTATTGATAGTAGAGCCAGGAGAAATAGTCTTTCACACGCTTGAAATCCATTGTTGGCTCCTTCAAGCTGCAGAAAGTCCGTCCTGTTAAAGAAGGCAACAGATTAGGAGAAAACTAAAATAAGGAACCCAAAACAGAATCTCCTTAGATTTTCATGATTTCAGCACGTGAAAGCCTTTCAAAGAAGGTTAACGATCATTGAATGGGTTAATATGAATATTATATTCAAATATGATGCATAAGGTATCATAGGAATTAATAATATTGCTACTAATAATTAAAACTAGACAATAGTATTAATAGTAACATTCATCTAATGTGATAATTCCTAGTAATAATTCTAGTGGTAATAATATCTAAGCATTGAGGCTAACCACATTTTCTTTTGCCATCTATACAGAGAGAGATAAATATGAATTTTCTATTTTCTACAACATATAATCTGAAAGAAGATGTAAAGAATTGTGTACCAAAGAGTTAATGTAACAAGTCTGAGAGTGCTATCTTTAGAAGGGCCTGCTTGCGAGTTTGTTCATTGGCTCGCATCTGGGGTCCTGGGTTTTGGAATGTTCTCTCCATCCCCTAATGGGTAAAGATGACTCACTATGCCTAGATTGTGCAAACACTGTAATTAATGGTGAGCACCTGCTTTGTTCTGGGAGTTTGAAATTTTGCTAATTTCTAGACAGGGTGACAGCATAACCAGTCCCAACAGAAATCTTGGTGCTGAGTCTCCCTGGGCAGAAACATTGCACATGTATCACGTTTTTGCTGGTGGAGAAACAGGCATACTCGATGTGTCCACTCATGAGAGGGAGAAAATATAGGAAGCCTGTAAGTGGATTTCTTCAGACTTCACCTGTGTCTTCTTCCCTTGCTGATCCTGTTGAACGTTCTTTCACTGTGACAAACCATAGCTGTGAGTAAAATATGTATATAGAATCCTGTGAGTCTTCTTAGGGAGTCCCTGAACATGTGGGTGGTCTTGGGAACCTCTGAAAAACGGGAAGCCCAAAGTGTACATTTGGGTAGTTGTTTGTTTTTGGATACAGAACTTTTGAAATTCATAGAAAAATTTTTTTTTGGCTCTCAAATAGGAGACTTATGATCACGTGTAAATCTTCCTAGAAAGAGGCACATCTATCAGGTCTTAAAATGATCCTTAGGAAGATTTTGCAGACTTTCAGAGACATTATAGATGTCTATGGGGACACAAGGTGGCCTTTGTGCCTGTTTTGGTTACTCCTAAGAGTAAAGGTTGCCACATCATATAAGTCTATTTTGATAACTTTTACTATTCAAATCACAGAATTTTGCTATTCAAATTGTCTGTAATAATGGCCAGGATAATTCAAATAAGCAGATAATACAACTGAAATTTTTTTACTTTCCTATGAAAAGAAAAGTCAGCCTCCCATCTTTCCTCAAAGCCAGAGTGAGAACCAAGTAATTGGATTTTAATGCTTTGTCCTAGCAGGTGGAACTCAGTGTTTGTTTGTTTGTGTATTCCTAGCTCTGGTTGCATAGAAAGGGCAACAGCTAATAGTGTGAGGTCTTGAAGGAAATGAATGATGGGAGTGATCTTTTCAGTGAGTGAAATTATACAAGCAACTGAGACTTTCCACAGAAAATTACAAGTTATCACTGTTTGAGCTTTTAGGCTGTCCCACTAGACAAATGTATATTTCAAAACTGAACCTAATTTTTAAAAATCTCTTTCATGGCTACCTACACTCGCTTCCTTTTCAATACCTAGAAGGAGTGTGGGGCGGTGCCAGGTAACTGATCAGGAGCAGGAGAGGACCCGCATCACGTGTCAGGGCCCAGGCTGTGCTGGGTGAACGTGGGAGAGTGATGGCCCAGACGGGGAGGGACTTTCCACTCAGGAAGCTTGGTCCAGTTTGGGGGGACAGGTAGCAATCAAACAATATATACAAATATATAATTATCAACTTCATTATGCCCTAAAAGGAAAAAGCAGTGCATAAGAGGCTGCGGGAAACCTGATTCAGCCTGAGCATATCTCTGAGGAAGAGATATTTGGGAAAAGATCCAAGGGATGATTGTGGGTCAGACAGGTAGATAGGTAGTCAGGTGAGGAGAATGGCCAAGACAAAGGGATCAACTTGTGCTTATGCAAAGGTTAGAGGTGGGAAGGAGATGGATAGGTGGTTGAGGGGATCAGGTAATGGAGCACAGAGATCTAGTGAGGGAGGCTGGGAGTATGGAAAACTGAACAGGAGGGAAGGGTCCGAGTGAGGCCAAACACTTAGAGCCTAGTTGGGTAGGCTATGTATTAGGGTTTTATCCTATGAGTGAGGGGAAGTCCAGAGGTTTTTAACAGGGGAATGCTGAGGGGATGGGGCTTTAAGTTCTTATGGACATGCTACCCTCCCTCCATGAGTTTAAAGCCAAGTTGAAATGATTTTGAGTAACAATTGTCTAGAAAAATCTATGCCTCTGCTCTCTTACGGATGTTACTTATTCAGAATCCACCATGTACTGAAAATCTGTTGAAAATAGCCTTGATACTCTTTTCAACGTTATAAATAAGATAAATTAGTCATTTAGAAATATTAATGACTTTTTCTCTACACATTTTAGCTTTTAAAAATGCACAAATTAATGGCCTGGCCATTGCTTTCTGTTCTAAAATTAAATTTCTTGCTTGAACATCTCTGATGGACAGACACCTTGACTGCAGGCTCGTCAGAGGCCCTGAGGCAGGGGCACGCAGCTAAGTTGTGCGCAGATGCCTGAACGATAGGAACATTACGCCAGGGGCAGATACCTTGTAAGACCTTGGTCACACACTGCTAGCAATTTAAAGAATTAAGATTAAAGAACCTTTTTTTCCCTGCCAGTTTCTACAGTCCCCTGTATCATTTTCCAACCCTCTCAGTAGCCAGCTCTGACATGTAACAAGGGCTTTAGATTGTCACATCTCACTCTAGTCTCATGAAATCTAAGAGACAGCCAATAAAACGCATTGATTTCCCCCTTTCCTTGATTCTTTTTTCCCCTTTTTGATGAAAAGCAATTTTAAGGATTATTTATTCATTGTTTCTTATTATGAAAAGGTGAGAAGAAAGCGAGTTTGGTTATTGGTAAACCATCTGCTACATTCTATTGTTAAGATATGCATTATATTTAGGCTCTATGTTTGTTTAAATCAGCGATTTTCAACCTTTATCATCTCATGGCATACATAAACTAATTATTAAAATTCTGCAGCACGCCAAACAGTAATTTTTTATATATATATATATATTTTTTTTTGCCAATCTGACAGAAAAAGTAGGTATAATTTTGAATCATTCACACTGGGCAGCTATTGTTGTGTTGGCTGTTGCCATTTTTTAAATTTGACAATCAAAGGGAGAAGAGGTCAGTGCTCCTAATAGTTAGGTGTTGCATGTTTAAAAATTCTTGTGCACCCTGGTTGAAAATGGCAGGCTCAAGTAATATATTTTTACTACTTTTTAAGTCTATATAATCCCTATGGGACTACATGAAATTTTTTTTTAAAAAACCATTTTAGACAATTTAAGTTGAGTAATGTGAGTAGGAGAATTTATTAATTCATCAAACAAATACATTTTGAGTACTGCTGTGTGGGTTCTTCTGAGTAGTAATGGTTTCAGAAGGAATCATTCTCATTATGGACAGATGATGCTCTTCTAGGCAACAGCAAACTGGACCATGACCATGAAAATATAGGGGAGAGAAAATAATTTTCCCTTTGCCTTTCTAAATTGTTCTGGCTACTCTAGTAATTAAATTGACATGAAATCAACAGGAAAAAATATCCATATTTATTATGTATGTACATGCGGGGGTTCCACGAGAGTATAGTACCTGAGGACAAATCAAGTGTTGGCTGTTTATATACTGTTCTGGACTAAGGAGAGGGAGGCAGGGGTCTGAGGCTTCAAAGGGAAAGCAGGCAATTCACAGGTAGATGAGAAAGAGCAAATATTTGGAAAACATGTTATTGCAGGACCATCAGACACAATGGGACACAAGGGGGAGTCTATCAGGCTTTGCCAGTTTCCTATCTGCCTCCCTTAATTTATATTATGCCAAGGTGACATCTCCCTTCCTTAAAGAAGATTTTTCTGAGTTCTTTTAGGCTGGTAAGGTGGAAGGTCAAAGGTCCTTTCTGAGTCTTTTGTTTCTTAAAAATAACTACCTTAAAATAATCAAAAGACAAACTCTGCTTCCCCTCATAACAGATGTGTAGTTAATGAGGAGCCAAGAATGAGCACTAACTGAGGGGAAAGGACATGGAAAAATGCTAAGAAGGAAGGTAGGAAAAGAGGCTGAATTTGGAAAAATAATGAGGAGATGCCACGAAATCAACTATCCACAGGTAACTGATGACAGAAAACATCTTAGTCCTATTTTTTCACAATGAAGTGTGAAATTAATTTTCCCACTTCCTTAAACACCTAATGCCATATCCCGACAAAGCTAAACAAAGGACTGAAAATGTTTATTTATTCAAGTACACCACGAATCTCCTTGTTTTAATTGTGTTTTCTGAAAGATAATTCTCCAAATATGGAAAAGAGAGAGTCGTTTTTTATTTGTTTCTTTTTAAGTTTCCCTCCTAACTTGATGATTTAAAAATGCTTTCAGATGTTTGAGGTTGTGCCTTCAAAGGTGGTGCTACCTAAGCAGGCTGTGGTATGTCTTCAGGATACAGTGGCTATAGCTGTGTGATGATGTCTTCAAGTAGATGGGTAGGCAGGAGGCCCCGTGAAGCACAGAGCAGTTGAAGCTCCTGTGGGAAGTGGAAATTGGTGCAAAGGTCAGCATTGGTATCTGGGGGAATGATTGTGAAGCCAGAAGAAAGGCTTTCTCTGAGCCTTTGGTTTAAAAATGCCATCAAGTCTCCTTCAGGAGACCCAGTGTAGTACCATATTCTAAGATGCTTAATGAATTTGATTTATCAAAGTTCCTCTAATAATAAATAACAAAATAATTATATTTTCATAGGATTATTTGTGGTTTAGAAAGTGCTGCCATTCCATTTGCATAATGCAGAATATGGGGTTGGGAATAAAGTTAGACATGGGTT